TACCATGTCCTCGCGGTTAGCAAACCCACCCACACGTATTGCCTTCCGTTTCGTCACTGGTAATCTGATATCGGGAGCCGAAGTCACCGGCGTGTCCAGACATGCCGAGCCTGCTACGGAACCAACGTCGCTTCTAGCGAAACAAATGATTCCTCCACCGCGCCCATTCTCCAAATTGGAAACACGAGCCTCTAAAGAGGTGATGTTATCGGTGACCTTGCTGGTTGCCGTCTCGTTCGCGTCTGCCTTCAACTGACCCAGGCCTATATTCGCACTCAAGGGAGTGATGTGAATAAAGAGCAAAAAGCGCTTGCCTATATACTCATGGCCCTGATTAATATCTGTTCTGTTTCGATCATATTTCCAAGTGGTGGTGGTGGTGGTGGGACGCCGCTTCCGCCAGGGAGCTGAGGGGCGCCACCAAAGACTCAGGAACCGCCAGCGCCAGACACCTCTGCGCCTGAGGGAGGTTTGTTGGAGCCTCCCTCCTCACCACAGCCGAACATATCAATAGTTGCCATCGAAAAGCGATGCGGGAGAGAAGCTGGAAAGGATGGATGGGCAGAAACGATCTGGCAGTGCGAGGAACGAAAACAAAGCATGATACAGCGGACTTTTTGTGTGCGCCTGCATGGGTGCCTTGAGCCAGACTGGACGGGAGAGGGAGGATGCGGGAGGAGGGCGCAGAGGGACAATGGACGAAGGGAGGAGGGAAGGGATGGAGGAGGGAAGACGGCCGCATTAGATGCAACGGGATAATCAACATGTCCGCCCCCTGAGAGCCGGCGGGAGCTCCCGCGACTGGCTGGCGCGGGGGAGGAAGGAAGGGATGGAGGAGGGAGGGAAGGGAGAGAGGAGCGAGGGAAAGAATGAGGTCGTCGTCGTCGGACCAAGGTATGAGCGCAAGGCTGAAACCCAGTCTACTCAGCAAGCTCGAAAACACTCCGAGAAGTAAACGAACAAGAAACAAGGCACAGGAGAAGAAGCTGCCCTGCCGACCTCACCTGGAAAAGGCCCCATGATGCGAAACAGGTTTCCTGGCGCCAGCCGGAGCGCGCGGGCGAGGTGTTCCTCGCGGGCGCGCTCCTGTGTTTTGGCAGTCCTGCGGTGAAGGGCCTCCGCGCGGTGGAGGGCGATCCTGCGCGAATGCCGGAAGGGGGACAGGAAGGGGAGTAGGAGGCGGGGGGACGAGTGGGGAGACCTTCAAGCCCCAGTGCTCAGTCGCAGTCGGCCTGCTCTGTGTGGGGTCGTACCAGGAAGAGCCTCACGGATCCTCATCCTGGGACGGGGGCTGCAGGAAAACCGCATTCCCATTGGACTCTAGGGAAAATTGTGACTTTCAGGGTTAACTAGTTATGGCTTCCTCTGATCGCGTTGGCACCTGGCGAAATCTGGAGCGAAGAGGAAATCCTGATCAAATTCCTGTCCACTGAACGTAGCAGTGCATGAGACAGTTGACCATGTCCTGGCGATCTGCTTCAAACGCGAAGTCTGCTCTCATTTGGCGCAACTGTACTTGACGCGCTGTCCATGATGGCTATAGCAACCGCCCTGCAGAAGTTGCTGGGGGACGTTTCCTTGCACTGGGTTCTCAAAGTTCCATCCTTCTGGCGACTCCAGAGCGTCAATTGGGAGCCTTTGCCAGGAGAGCATCTGCCCTAACCCAGCGTGGAACGAAGCGCCTCCTGGAGCCTAGGCATACGTATTCCTATCATGCGCGTCGGAGCTCTCCCGTCGGTCGACGTATCGACGTTCGCAAGCTTGTGCTCGCACTGATCGAAGTCGGTGGCTGGGGCAACAGGGGAGGAAACGAAGGCGACGAGGCGAGGCTACCTCAACGAGACGAGGGCACATATAACCCACCAAATCGCCGGGATAGGGTGCTCCATCCCCCACCCCCACCCCCGGTCCCCGCACGGAAATGCTCAGACAGCATATAAAATACCGCCTGTCAAAGCCGTCCCCCAATTTCAAGCTGCGCCGAGTGCGTGGTCGTGCAACCTGGGATTCCAACAAAGACCCTCAAGGGTCCGCAAGGGAGGCCCCCCACCTCCCAACGCTCCAAGTATCGCAGGAGGGCCGTTCTCCCGAATTCAAAACTCGTATGTCCCGGATACGACGTACCTACACGACCACCATGGAGGGATGCTCGGGGGCGATGGGGGAAGCAACGTCTGATTCAATCGATCCGACATCGATCACACTCTCGATCTCGCAACTGGTACCACTAACGCTCTCACGATCACTATCGATTTAGCAATCGAACCCACCGTCGATCTCACAAGCAATCCCCACGATCGACCTGACAATCGGAGTCACTATCGGTCTCACATCCAGACTCAGCATCGATATTACAACATTTACAATGTTGTGTATTACTATCAATCTCACAATCAATATATAACCATCGATCTTACTACTGGTCACACAAGCGATTTCACAATCGATATCACAATCGACGCCACTGTAGATGTCAGGAAGGCTCGCACCATCGATCTCACAACAGTTCCCACGATCGGCCTCACAACAACTCCAACCATATATCCCGCAACAGATCGCACGACCGATTCACAAAGGATACCACTAATGATCTCACATAAGGTCCCCGATATCACAATCGATCTTACTAGCGAATTGACGATCGATCCCAATATCGATCTCACGAGCGATCCCACTATCGACCTCACAACAGATCTTACAATCGAAATCCCGACCGATTCCCACCACCGATCTGACAACCGAACGCACCACCGACCTCACATTCAGGATCACGATCGGTATCACGATCGATCTCAGAAGCGATCTCACCATCGATTCCACTTGCACAGTCGACATCGCAATTTATCTCACGATCGATCCCAATATCGATATCACTGTCCGTCCTTCTACACATGTCACTAGTGCTCTCACCATCGATCTCACAACATATTCCACTTTAAATACCTATACAACCACCCCTCGGGTGATAAGGAGGTTCGGGGGGGGAGGAACCAACGTCTCACTCGATCGGTCGCACGATCGATCTCACTATCGATCTCACTATCGGTCTCGCTCGATCGATCTCACCCGATCGATCTCACAATCGATCTCACTCGACCTATTTCATTCGATCGATCTCACAATCGATCTAACTATCGATCTCACAATCGACCTCACGATCGATCTCACTATCGATCTCACAATCGATCTCACATTCGGTCTCACTATCGATCTCACTATCGATATCACAATCGATCTCACAATCAACGTCATCAGCATCATCAACAGCATCGCCATCAACGTCATCAACATTATCATCATCATCGAGACATCATAAGCATCACCTCATCACTCCATCATCAGACCCATCATCATCATCATCATCATCATCATCACCATCACCATCACCATCACCATCACCATCATCATCGGGACACCATCATCGTCACCATCATCATCAACATCACCATCATCAGGACACCCTCATCATCATCGGAATGCCACCATCATCATGATCATCTCATCTCATCATCAAGCCTAACATCAACAACAACAACATCATCATCATCATCACCATCATCATCATCATCAGCATCATCATCGGGACACCATCATCATCAGCAACATCATCATCATCATCATCATCGGGACACCATCATCATCGTAACCATCATCATCACCACCATCATCATCATCATCATCATCATCATCATCATCATCATCATCATCATCATCATCATCGGGACACCATCATCATCAACATCAGCATCATCATCACCATCATCGGGCCACCATCATCAAAATCTTCACCATCACCTCATCATCATCTTCATCATCATCATCGGGACACCCTCATCATCATCATCAGCATCAACATCACCATCATCGGGACACCATCATCATCACCATCATCATCAACAGCATCATCATCAACCTCATCGTCATCATCGGGACACCATCATCATCATCATCTTCATCATCATCATCTCATCATCAGGTCATCATCATCAACATCAACGGAGCCATCAGCATCATCATCATCGGGACACCATCATCATCATCAGCAACATCATCATCATCATCAACATCACCATCATCATCATCATCGGGGCACCATCATCATCACCATCACCATCAACATCATCATCAGCATCATTATCATCATCATCATCATCATCATCATCATCATCATCATCATCATCATCATCATCATCATCATCATCATCATCATCATCATCATCATCATCATCGGGACACCATCCTCATCACATCACCATCATCATCGCCAACATCATCGACAACAGCATCATCGTGACACCGACGGGACACTGGCGGGACAGCGGCGGGACACCGCGCGGCACCGGACGCCGGAAGGGAGACTTTTGGTCCGGCCGCGCCTCAGCCACAGCGGGACACCGGCGGGACACCGCGCGGCACCGGTTGCCGGAAGGGAGACTTTTGGTCCGGCCGCGCCTCAGCCACAGGAGACTTTTCTTCTCGCCCGCACACGCAGCTTCGCCTCGCCCGCACGCACGGCACGCACGAACACGAAACCGAAACCGATTTCCTGGTAGGGGGCTCTCCGTTCCACTTCGATCTCACCCCCTCACCTCCGATCACAACAGATCTCGCGATCGATCTCTCCAAAGATCTGACGATCGATCTTACAACAAATCTCTCAATCGATCTCACGATCGATATCACTATCGATATCGTCGCCGCGCCACCGACGGGACACCTCTGGCTACCGCCCGGGGTGGTGGGGGGGGGCAACCTTCTACGCAGCCCCTAGTCAAGGCGGCATCATTCCTCTCGCGCGCCCGTTCAACTTCGACTCGCCCACACGCACGACACGAGCATGAAACCGGAACCGACTTCCCAATTGGGGGCTCTCCATTCCACTGCGATCTCACCTCCCCAACCACCGATCGAAAACTTGATGGCGGTAGCGTCCGTGAGATCTCCTCTGGTAGCGTCTACTGCGATGTCTAAAGACAGGCAACAAAAGATCAAACGAGGCGATGGGAACGTGGAAGAAAAGTGCTAGTATCCACGGACCTCCGCTTGCCGCAAGAACGGTTGCGAACCATAACTGCAGGCGACAGATTTCGTTTGCATGGGATTGGTTCGGCTGGAACTCCCTGGAAATCCTGGGGCCGAAAAGACCAGAAGCTATCGTCGGACAGAACCTCCTCGACGTCGTCCTGGACCCCGGCTCCAGACAGAGCCAAGTACCTGGAAGCGGTTTCTTCCGGACACCAGAAAACAGAATCCGAACAAACTACCACCTCGCGGGCCTCAAATTCTCCCAGGAGAACAACGACTTCTCGAGCGAACGGATCTCTGATGGTCTGTGCTCGAGCTCTCCCTCGAAGCTGCTGTGCTGGAACCTGCGCTGCCCCCTGGGCAGAAGCAGCAGTGAAGTTTCCTCGTTCAGCTGCTGGCGTTGCTCCACTGATCCGTCGGGCGGGATGCTCAACAGAACGAGGGCGCAGCGAGGAAACTAAAAAAACAAGTGCTCCACCAGCGGCTTGCGGGATGCAGGGACAGCAAAGCAACCTCAACAGCGGCTGGTATCTCCCAGATGAAACCTTCCACGATGTATGCATGTTCAATGCTCGCGAACACCATGCTGTTTAAGGTACTCGATGGTGTCGCATTGCGGATCACACAAGCTGCGTAGGTAAGTAAGGAGAGTTTGTTAAGCCTTCGCCCGAAGAGGATGTTGGGAGTTAGTAGCTGGTCTGGGCACCCTGCCGTCGTACATGACCTGGAAATCCTCGATCTCGGCCACGTGGGCCAGGGCAATCCTGTTGGAGTGGGCGACGTAGGCCGGTAGGGCAGACTTGAGCATCGCCTTCCAACCCAACTGGCAGCTGAGCTCAAGGTTCTTTTGAGGCCTTGGAAAGTATTTCAGCTTGGGGCGGTGACTGCGAAGCCACTCGACGTCTTCGCAAGCCTGGTGTATCCACGATGCCCGGCACTGCTGCGCACAATGTCCGACCAGAGCAAGAAGGTGCAAGGGTCCACGATGCAAAAGCCTGCCGAACAATGCAAAAGCCTGCCTCCTGTGGATCCTTAAAATCCCGTGCAAGTGCGGGCGCTCGCCCATGACCAGAATCTGAGAAGAGGTGAGCGAAGACTTGACAATACAAGGGCAACGCACGACTGCTCGAAGCATGTACACTAGATCGTCGCTGAGCTGACTGGGCAAGACTTCATGTCGGCCAAATGCCTGCCTGGTAGAGTCTGCTGGAGTACATCAAAAACTATTACAATCAGACTGACGCTGCGCTCCAAGTGCTCGTCTCGAACAACCCTTCTTAGTTGTCTCCATTCGGATGATGTGGCATCTCTGCGATGTGCGAGTTCGGGACCTAGCGAGCCTGCATCGTCAAGTACTGTGCCTAGATGGGTAATGCCAGTATTCTGCCTGACCGCGAAAAGCTCCGTGGGGCCGCAGGGAGAGGAGGGAGGAGGGAGGGAGGGGAGAGGAAGGAGGGAGGGAGGCAGGGAGGAGGGAGGGAAGGAAGGGAGGAAGGAAGGGGAGGGGGCCGGGGGGAGATGCAAAGGGGGTCCGCCGTGGGGCGCTCGGAGCGCCGGCCGACCTGCTGAGGACGGCCTACAGGGCAGTTTTTAATACACAGGATGTTTAAAACATATAGGATGTTTAAGACATGATTACGCTATGAATAAATGTATGCATGACCTCATCGTTGTTTTTAATACTACATCCCTGCATTTGTAATACATGATCCGCACGCGGAGCATGTATTAAAAACGGCACTGTAGAAGGCTCCTCGGCGCCCCCAAACCGTGTGGTGACAAACCGGGTGACGACCTCGGAACCCCAAGAGGCCTCAACGCGCGGTCCGTCACCGCACGAGCTTGGGGACCTCGGGCGCACCAGTCGCCAAAGACGTCATCGGAGGACGGCCCGAGCCCAAAAAACTTGCGGTGACCGCGAGTCCCCACTGACTCACCACGTTTGGGGGCCCCCGACATTCCTATACATGCGACGCCTTGACGTCTTCAAGACGGAGTCCCCGGAGCTCTCGACCCCTCCCCCCTGGACTGTTGTTCCGTTCTGAATGTTTGTTGTATCTGTCCTGGGGCCCGGCGAGGGTACCCAGGGGCCGAAAACAGCAAGAACATGGCACTCTTGATTTTTCACGGCACGGGCGGCCCCGAATTCACACGGACACACGCAGCGTGTGTGGTCACCACACCGCCTGGGGGCCTCCGAGCGCAGCGGCGCCCCACGCGCGCCGCTCCTGAGCCCCACCCGGACCTCTGGGCGCCGCTGGGAACATCGCCCCGGGTGCTTCTCCTCTGGATTCTCTGCCTCTGTCTCGGCGGCGCGCCGAGGGGGCAGGATCAGTCAGCATCGAATCGGGGAATCCGATCGGATCCGAACGGGCGTCGGGTCGGGCCGCATCGGCACGGAGTCGGAAAAGAATCGGATCGGCCGCGCCAGGACGCACAGCAGCGCCATGCAAGCGTCGGGCCGCATCGGATCGTCGCAGTCTCGCAATCGAATCGGATCGAAATGACAGAAAAACGAAAGCGAATCGGATCGATCGGATCGAAATGGGCCTAGGAGGGGGCAGGCCTTATCCGAAGGCGGCGGGGCTTCTCAGAAGCCATGCGGCCGCCTTCGGAGAAGGCTTGGAAAGCCTCCCAAAGGCCGGAGGCCTCCTGAGCCGTCTGATTCTGTCCGCCCCGACAGCCTTCCCCCCTGCGCACGCCGACGACTGTCGGGAGGGGCGAAGTCCAGCTAAAGGCCCACCAAATGAAGCCCGTCGGCTCCATCTTAGCTTGCTGCAGCTGGACTCTGCGTCGCCCGAGATGGGCCGAGTCCAGCTAGAGGCCCACCAGATGTGGCCCAATGGCTCCGAGTGGAGTGGCTCCCACTGGACTCACAGAGAAGCTGGAAAGAGTGCAAGGTGGACGTTGCCTCCGAGTGGATACAGCCAGGGCTGGAAAGAACGCCAGGGGCTGGAACGAGCCTGAAACGATTGGCACGAGGTCGCCGGGGGCCCGAAAGACCACAAGGGAGACCGGCCAGGGCTGAAAGCAGTGGAACGGCTGGCCCCGGCCACTCTTCCGAGCTTCCCCACAGCGCCGCGCCGCCCGACTCTGGGGCAGGGCGAGGGGCCTCGGACCCCAGGGCCATCACAACACGACCCTCTGGGAGTCCACTGGCTCCCGAGAGGATCGCGCCGAGGCCTCGGCGGGGACCAGACACCAGAATAACAACAAGAAAAGAAAAGCATTAACCTTCCGGGGCTCCGCGCGGATCTCTTGGATCGGCGCTCCCCCTCCCCTTCCCCTGGTCCAGGTGCCGACCCAAGGAGATCCTCGCGGAGCTCCGAACAGTTCTGTTTACCAGGATTTCTTACCCGAGGGACCCGTCGCAAGAAAGCCACAGCGCTGGAGGTCTGGGGCGCATTGGCGGACGGCGCCTGCTCGGGAGAGGGGAGGCGGAAGAGCTGCGGCCAGGGGCGGAGGAGCGGGACAGGTCTGAGAACGCACATGGGCACGAAGCTCGGTGGCGTGGGCCCGTTGTCTCCCACCGCGCAACAGGCGGCCCGAGCGAAAAAAAAAATCGCCTGCCCAGCGGGCCGACGGGCGTGCTGGCGTCTCTGGCTCGAAGTGCTCGATCATTTTGCATGTTCTGATTCGCACGCGCAGGGACGCGGCAAGTCAGCCTCGGGATGCTGAAACCGACGGGCGCGGCCTGACAAGCCGCCAAGCGGGCGCCGCAGTTGCCACACGAGCACACAGGCTTTCCAGACCATCAGACAACCTCCAACATGCACCTTGGAGGCCCCAAGACCGCCACGGGACGTCTCCAAGGTCGTGCAGCCTCCCAAGGAAGCCCCAAGAGGCCACCATCAATCAAAACAGTAGTTTCCATTATTCTTGGTTTTCTCCCAGTGTCGCTTTCGATTACCTTCGGCGGCCTTTGGCTCCAGAGTCACCAACGATAGCTCCAAGTGTAGCCCAGAAGGGTTCCAGGAAGGCTCCGACGACCCGAGGGTGCCCAAGGAGTGCCCAAGAAGTCACGAAGAGCGCCCAAGAGAGGGGATCAATGGTGGCAGGCCTCAAGAAGGCCCTAAACTGCCCCAAGACAGAGCCAGCGTGGCCCATCATCAGTCAAGGCAGCCCCTAAGAGGCCAGCATCTGTCAACATGACTTGGATCTCCCACACCTTTCGTATTGAATCCTCCTTTCGACTAGGACATTGTTGCTCTTCTCCTCCTCTCCTGCCGGCCGCCTCCTTCCTGTCTCCTGCATTATGCCTCGTACTTCCTGCTTGCATCCTTCCGCATGCCGCCTCCTATATATCCGCCATCGTGCCGCTAGGCACAGACTGGAGTGTTCTCAGGTTCGTGAGGATCCTGTGTATGAAATCATGGATGCTCGGTAAGACCCACAAGCCCGTGTTTCGGAGGATCCTGGGGGCTCTTGGGGCGTGGCGCCTGTCCCCACGTGATTTTCCGGAAGCAGGAGGGCCCCAAAACGGGCCAACGGGGCCCCAAGAGGCACCCCAAGACGGTCCAAGAGGGCCCCAGGACGTCCAAAGAGCTTGCACGCACGAGGGCCCCAAGAGGCAACACTCACTGACTCTCCTTACATAATTGAACGAAGGTGTCATTCCTCTTCTGGCTCCCGACGCTCCAAAACGGCCCCAGAGGCCCCCAACATCGCCCCAAGACTGCATAAGAGGCCGCCTGGGCAAAACTGCCCAAGAGGGCCTCAGGGCAGCCCAAGAGGCCCCAAGGACGACTTCAAGAGGGCCTCACGAGGGAGAACTCACTCGAACTTGTAGTTCGAGCCCTTCGTGGCAAGATGAACCCTGAGACCGCCAGCAGGTTCCCAAGAGGCCTCAAGAGGCCCCCAAGAGGCCCCGAGAGGCGCCATGACACCCAAAACCGCTTCAAAGAGGTTTCCGAGAGGCACCCGAAGAGATGCGCACAGGCATCCAAGAGGCCTCTACCTACAACCCAAACACGGTGGCGTAGTGGTCCGAAGGTCACTAAACCACCTGCCTCGAGCGCATCTTTTGACTCATGGCCATTACCGGAGGGGACGGGGGGGCGGGGGGGGCATAACGTAACGCCCCTTCCCCGTCGTGTGGCTCCGACACCACAGCGCCTGTGCGCATCACAGCAAGCACCAAAGTGCGCAGCACAGCATACACCGTCGCAGACGCGTGCACCACATCGCCAATGCACTGCGCAGTGCATACGTGCAGAGCCACAAGTGATGTTGTTCCCCCACACCCTCCTTCGAGCATTATTATGTGCTGGTGTTTGCTGGACGACGAGGGCGCCCGAGCGCTGGACGACGACGACGACGACGACGACGACGATAACGACGACGACGAAGCCGACGACGACGACGACGAGATCGAGGAGTGGGACGGGGACGACGACGACGACGACGACGACAGAAGCATCTGAAAGTCTCTCGAGGTCTCCGAATGCGTAAGGAGGTTTCCAGACACTTCTGAAGGCGTCTGGAGGCCCTTCGAGGCCCTCGGCGACGACTACGAGGACGAGGACGAGGACGACGGCGAAGAGGACGACGACGACGACGACGGGGACGAGACAAGGACAGACACAAGGACGAAAACGATGACGACGAGGACGAGGACGAGGACAAGGACGAGGACGACGACAAGGGCGACGGCCGCCGCTGGAGGCGTTTGAAGGCCCTCCGAAACCCTCAAACTACGACGAAAACAAACGAGGACGGAAACAAGGATGGGGGGGACGACGACGACGACGACGACGACGACCAGGACAAGGACGACGACGACGACGAGGACGACGACCGCCTCTGAAGGTCTCTGGAGGTCTCAGGAGGCCCGGGGAGGTCTCCGCAGACTTGTGGAGGCGTCTGGAGGCCCTTCGAGGCCCTCGGCGACGACGACGAAGACGCCGACCGCCACGCAGACGAGGAGGACGAGGACGAGGACGAGGACGTGGACGAGGACGGCAGGGACGTGGACGAGGACGGCAGGGACGACAATGACGACGACTAAAGCAACGACCACGACGACGCCGACCGCGACGGCGACGCCGACGCCAACGCCGACGACGACGTCGACGACGACGACGACCACGACGACGACGGCAACAACGACGCCGACGCCGACGCCGACGCCGACGCCGACGGCGACGGCGACGCCGACGCCGACGCCGACGACGACGACGACTATGACGACGACGGCGCCGGCGGTGGCGGCGGCGGCGGCGGCGACGAGGACGCGGACGAGGACGGGGACGACGACGACGACAACGAAGACGACAACCACAACGACGACGACGACGACGACGGGGTCTCCCGAGGCTTCAGGAGATCTCTGGAGGCCTCTGGAAGCGTCAGCAAGCCCTGCGAGGTCCTCTCCTCTGACACGACGACGAACGTTAAAATGTGAGCATGCGAGCCTCAATGGCAGTTCCAGAGGCGCATAACGGGGGAGAGGGGGGAACGTTACATTATGTTGGGGGGAGGGGGGGGGGGCATAACGCGCGTTATGGTCAAAGGGGTTTAAAAAACCCGCTCCTCCTATCTCGTTTCCATGGGCGCTGCCACCTGCGCGAATGTTGCCACCTTCGTGAGCTCTTGGGATGTCCGCCGAAGTGAAATACGACCAGGACCCAAGTGATTACCACAGCGGGAAAGCGCATTAGCCATAATCAATTGATTGGTCCCGTTCACGTGGGGAGCTGCGAACTTAGCAACTCCCGCAATATTCCTGAGCTGGTGGGGGGGGTCGTGACGTCCCACCCTGACCCAAGCTATTCCCATCGCAGCCACGGATGCTGCCAGCTGCGCGAACCACTGTGACGTCGACTGGGGTGATGCCTTACCCTTACATAAATGATCCCTTGTCGCCTGCCTGCTGGGACGTGCGAGAGCGAGTTCTCTTTGGGAACCGCCACTTTTGTTAGCTCCTGGCACTTTCGCGGGCACTGCCATTTTGGTGAAATCCGTGGAGGTCCAGCGGAATGACGTCAAAACCAGACCCAGATGATGGCCCTCGCCTTGCTGGGGGGATACTAACTTTGAAACTATCGCCACATTCGTGCGCTCTTGGGGAGCCCACCGGGGCGACGTATTTCGGGCACCCAAACGAGAGTTCGCCCTGCCTGAGATTGCGAGCTGGGTAACCGTCGCTATTTTCGCGAGCTTTTGGGAGGCTCACTTAAGCGAGGCCCCGCGGGCACTCTAACGAGACCTCGCTCTCTGAGCGTTGCCAACTGTGCAAACGTCGCCACGTTCGTGAGCTTCTGGAAGGTCCAGCCGACCGACGTAGCTCGTGCGTCCAAACGAGACCTCGCACTCCTCAGGTGTTGCCCACTGCGCAACTGTCGCCACTGTCGTGAGCTCCCCGTTCCCAGCGCGCGGAGCGCGCCAGGGACGGCGCCGGAAGCTCCGCCAGGGGGGGCCCAATGCCGATCCAAGAAATCCGCGTGGGCCTCCGAACATGCACGAAACCTCGCCCTCCATGGGCGCTGCGAAGCAGCGGCCCTGTGCCTCCGCAAGAACGCGGCACCCGCGCGAGCTTGCCCATCGCATACGCCGAAGTCCTCGCACCCACGGTCTACCAAGGGCTTAGAGCCGGGCCGTGCACAAAGGTGTCATCCTCGACGCCGGCTACCAAGACGCCAGGGGCATCGAATGGTTTGGGCTGATGCCTAGGGATGGCGGCGAGCTCGACATGCATTTCCCTCACGACTGAGCGAAGGAGCCGCCAGCGCGTGCGATAGTGCGCTCATGTGTCTCTACACGCCGCATGCCGGCGAAGCGGCGCGCGCGGCTGCCAAGCGCCCACGCTGAGCGACGCAGGCTGGGGCCAGGTTGCTCGCAAGCCGCAGTGCAAGATCGCTGTTACTTTTTTTTTGTTTTTAGTTTTCCTTCTTTTTTGTTTGTTCCCCCTGGGTCGCACTGCGGACGCATCGATCCGATTTTGTTCGGCACTGGCCCGTGCGTCTATTTTCGGGCGTACCGGCCCGCGCGAAACGTCTTCAAGACTGACGGGCGCGCCGCCAGACTGCGCCCGCGCCGCCACGAGGCCCCTCTCAGTGGAAGGGACAGGGCGATGAACTCAATCTCAAACATGTTGATATACATGACAACGTCGTCGAAGAAACGGCAACGCATACAGACCATGAATGAAGACGCATCTGAAGGCGAAAATATTATCTGTGATGGTATACATGTTCTCGACTGCCTGCCAGTACAGAACCCCGGCGGCAAGAGCGCGGCCGCGACGAAGGTGCACAAGACACCGGAAAGCTTCACGTAGCGGAGGAGAAGGGGACCGTAGAAGTAATCGGAAGTGGCGCTGCAGTTGCTTAGCGAGAGCGGTGGGCGGAGCCCTCTGCCGGCGCCTGTATCCAAGCGACCCCGAACCTCGGTAATCCCATTGCGGGCAGCGTTGGTAGCCCTAAAGGTGGCGCAGAGGCCCCGTGCCCGGCGGGCGAGGGCATCGTCCGAGGTGGAGGTGAACAACAGAAAATCGTATACTTGCCAAGCGACTGGTCCAGGAAGTAGCTCCAGGTGTGCTCGATATAAGGCCGCGATACCCGTGCAGAAGGCATAGTGCAGGATGGTGTCGTGCCCGTGCGGGCACCCGAAAGGGCAGGGGGCCCCCGGGCGAGTGGCCCAGCCCCCGACGAGCGCCTTGCACGACGCTGCCCAGACGC